GATCGCAGATCCTCGGACGTCTTGCTGAAGCCCGTGGTCTGGACCAAGCGATCGCTGCGTGCGCGCATCTCGGCCACCTCGTAGTAGCTGACGGAGCCGTGCACCATGTAGTCCCTGTAGATCCGCTCGACGAATTTTCGGTGAGGCTCTCTCATGTAGGTGAGGATGACGTCTGGATGAGCAGAGACGAACGTCTCACGGAACTCAGCGTGATCTTGGCCTGGGATCTCCGGGATCTTTGTGGCATCTTCTTCCATTTTGGCTCGACGAGCGGCAGTGTGGTCTTGGAGCACTGCTGACGCTTTCCAGACGGCCGCCAGCAAAGTCAAAGAAAGTTCCCGAGCGGCATTGTCAGCGTCGAACTTTGCGTCATCGTTCACGATCGCCTTGAGCGTGGTCTTGGCCTGAGAGATGGTGTCCCCCAGCATCGCGATCCTCTCGATCGAGAGCAAGGAGGACTCTGCCATGAGCAGGCACAGGTTCTCTGGAAGCTTCTGCCTGCCGAAGATCTGACGAACTGCCAGATCGGGCACAGCGCCTGTGTATGAGGTCTTATCCACCATCTCGAGACTCCCGAACGGGCTACTGCGCACGAAGAAACGGGCCTGCCCTAGGAGAGCCAAGTTCAAACTCAGGCAAACAGAGCTACTCACATGTGCAACTGTGAAAGTAAGCGAGCTCAGACAGCGACTTTTAAGTCGAGCAGACAGTCAATTACTGAACATCAAAGAAACGTCAGGTCTAGCCTTGGCGCAGTGCTTGCAAAGCAGGCTAGGGTCCGGCAACAGATGTCCTACATGAACACACTCATCTGCCCTGCACGCCACGACCTGATAGTCGGCCTTGGACGAGAAGTGGTACTTGTACTCGTAGCTAGAGGCCGAGCCGTCTGGGATCTGGAGGAAGAACTCCGCGATCGGAAGCAGTCCTTCAAGTCTGCCACGAGCTGCTGCATCATCACAGCCGGTATCGTGGAGCGGTCGCGGGTGTACTTGAGCACCATGGGGTATGGATCTTTCCAGTTGGCCTGCAGACCGATTTCCTGGGGCGTTCGACCCTGGTGCACGGCAGCTCGAGCAAAGTCACCCGAGGAGAATGCATGGCGAAGGTCTTGACCTTGTCGGAGATCTCCTTGGGTGGCGCGATCGCGCCGTACTTTGTGAAGGCCTCGTGCGCCAACCAACGAAACCACGGCCATCTGTGAAGCCAACGTTGGGGTCGATGAGCTTCGTTCCTCTCCGCTTCCTCTCGACTTTAGTCTGCCAAGCAACGCCGAGCAGCCCCAACATCTGGCCTCATCTCGAGCTCGAGCGGCTTGACATGGATGGCATCGTCGAACCTGAGCGAAGCAAAGACCACGCAGAGCAACCACCATGTGAAGATTCGGGCAGCGGCAGGCTCCTTCCCGGAGCAGACGAACTTTTCCATCGCCTGCACAACCTTGACAGGCATGGCGATCGCCTCTTTGATCATCTTGGCGCGCTTCTGGAACACGTCCGTCTCCAGAGCCAAGAGACGCTTGTCCTGGAGGCCGGGGAGCTTGATTGCCAGTCGCGAGCCAACCCACTTCATGGCCGATCGCAACGACGGGATGACTGTGGGCCCGCACTCTAGGAGTCAAGGAACAGCGCGTACTTGACCACAGCCTCGATCGTGAGCGGGCCACGGCTTCCAGCCGAGCGGCCCACCTCTGCTTCTCGGCGGGCCGAGCAATGGTGTGGAGCTACAGTTCGCCGAGGTTGGCAGCTTGGGCTTGGGCACCGAATTTGGCATCGCGAGCAGCGACTTCATGGCCGCTTGTCTGCGCAGAGCTAGGGCATCGGAGTGGGCTCGCTTTCGGACCTTCGAGCACCGAGCTGCATGGTGAAGGACTCCGTAAAGAGCGTCTCAGCCGCCTTTGCCAGCAGCCAGAACTGTTCGAGCATCAAGGTGCGCTGGCTGAAGATCGCAAGGGCATCCTTGTCAATCACGGGAGCCCAAGCAATGATCGCGGCTGCAAACTGTCCCTCAGACTCCGCCTCGACCAAGTAGACAAAGTCCAGGCTGGCCAACGGGGCAGCGAGCGCCGCTTTCCGGAACTGATCGTCAAAACACCCAACTGACAGGACCTTGACCACCCATCTGTCCGGACGATCGTCCATGATTATCAGAATAATTCCCTTAGAACACTAAAAGGCCTAGCAACTCAAGGCTTACGACCACAAAACAGAAAACACGCACATGAACCGCTTGAACAGCTCAGCAATGCATCAAGCAGACGCGCGCGGCGTGATCAACCTTCTCTTGGGAAACGACAGCCACATGAACATGAAACTGACATGCTTGCAGAGGCTGAACAGCATGAAGTCATGTTCTGCTGTTACGCTGCACACTCAAGCGTGAACATGCTGCACTGTCAGACTGAAACCCTTGCAGAAGCCCGCGTGAGCATGCATCGCGAGGACAGAAAAATTGAAGCACACTCACATCAACATGCCGCTTGGAACAATGCGCAAGGAAGTCTGTCCAGAATGCAAAACGTATGTTAGAGCATGTCAGGCCGCACGTCATGGGCATCAGCAGGCAGAACCTTCCGAACCCTCTTTTTGACGCGAGCGGTCGCATGCCTGTGAATCATATCCAGCTTATGGAGCAAAATACGGCATCATTGCCGAACAGCTCCTAGCTCAAAAAGAAAGATCACTCTTCAGTGCTAGCCGCGCACGGGCCAAAGCTTCTCGGCTCAGCCGCTGGGTGAGCACGAGGGTGGTTGCCGGCCTCGAGCACCTCGATGGTGATCCTGCTCTGCTCCTGCGCCTCCATGAAGCTCAAGCGAGCGCCCTCCACCGAGTTCACGAAGGCGTCTGGCGTCATGGTCGCCATGCTGCGAGCTTGGTTGCGCCTTTCTTCCAGAGTCTTCCGGCCGCGCATGATCAGGCTGTTGTCGTCCACGTCTCCTTGGCGAGCTGCTTCGCCTGGCTCGGTCATGGAGAACTCCGCGTCCCAGGGCACTGGAGCCAGCGCAGCCTGCCCACGAGACGGAGCCCAGAGACTTAAGAGCGTCCAAGATTGGCGGCACCACTGTTGCCTCGACCTGCTTATCGCGCAAGTTGAGGGCAAGCGCCTCGATCTCCACCATGTGCCTGCCAGCCTTGTAGAGCGGGCTCTCGCAGGTGAAGTGCAAGTTCTCCGGATGGGACTCCACAGCGATCGCCCCAATCCTCGGCCCAATCTTCTCCTCGGCGCCTGCCTCGATCGCGGCTGTCCAGTGAGCATGGATGTTTGCAAGCTGGGACAGCTGAAGTTGCTGATCAGGACACTCGATTCGAGCAGCCTGCCGGCGGCACCACGAGGCATTCTTGATCAAAGTCGGGCCCGACACTCGCGACACCACCAACCACGAAGGCGGAGCCGCCACACTGCTGGCGCTGACATCGATGCGGTCCGCGGCGCTGTAGAACCTCGCCTCACGCCGATCGGCATCCAGCCCCACTGCATCGCCTGATGCTGAGGCGACCAATCTCAGCTCGAAGTGGCAAAGTGGATAGTCGAGCGCCACCACCACTCCTCCATTTGAAACGGCATAAAGGCGACCGCCCACCTCCCAGGAGTTGGCGATCACGTGGTAGCCCTGGAAGACGATCACGGT